AATACTTCAAATTAATGGGACACAAAATTTGACCACGAGATCAAGTCTTTCGATGAAAATGAGCTCTCTTAAAACCTATTTTGATTTATATAGTAATTTCTACCGCTGGAATTGCGGAAAATTACACACTAATGAACTCATTGAGACACTTTCCACTCTTGAAACGCCATCCGCGAGGTCAAACTTTGATGCCTGGGACCAGAGCTTTGACAACTGCACGCGAAACGCGAAAATACAGTTTTGAATCACCGCGAGTAGAATGAAGCAACGACCTAGAATATTTGGCGACCCAAGGCTACTTGTTGCATGCACTCACTGCCAGGCTAGGGAAAAACATCGTATGAACATTCAATGTTGTCAAATCTCTTCCCATAAATATTTATCTTTTATCTAAAGAATGTGTATTTCGCCTTGAAATTTGCAGACGCATTAGATCAAATTACTAACAAAATCCCTGAAAAATTGGGGGAAAATGTGTACCTTTTTCCCCAAAAATTAAGGATTTGTCCAGGCAATTTGACAAAGTCTGAAGGCTCGTACGCTGTTCTTCTTTAGCAGCTCATGCCTCGTTAATTTTGGCGCGTTTGAACGAAAGGCCTTGGGATGTCCGATTCATTTTTCAAAGGGGTTTTTTCTGCCGTTTTTTGTCAATTTCTGAAAAATTCTCACGTGAGACAAACGCGGGAGAAACATGGTTTCCTGAAATATCGTGCGACCCCGCCACTCTACGCCGTAGAAATTTTAATCAATAGCGAAACTGAACCACGTACCTCCATTTGCGATATTGCAAATCATCCATCGCATTTTACGTTTTGTGAGAAGAAACTGCGCATTATTATTGCGCGAAATTCTGTGAGATTTCTCGTAGCCATTTAAAGGATGATTTCTGCAAATTTCGTTACGATAGGGTCTACTGATAAGCCCTGAGAAAAATAAAGTAGCGGCGGAAATTATGAAACACTGAAATTGAGATGGGGGTTTTTGGAATTTAATCACCTTAATGATCCGTACCCCATTTCCCATTTTCCCGTCTGTCTGTGAGATCTGCAACGGATAAAATAGGAATCCCGCGTAAATCTTTGGTCGGTTTTCCTGCTTCACCCTGGGCAGATTGTCACATTTGACGGCTCAGATGTGTCTGTGAATATATTTTTCTTTCCTTCAGAGTACATCGCTTGCAGTGCCCTCCAAAATTACTTCAAATACATGTTCTCTCGAGCGGGTTGGGTCATCAAAATTAAGGCATATTCCAAGTGATACAATCAAATCTGAATGAATAACCCTTGAAAACGGTTTACATCTAAAATTAAGGAGGAAAAATCCTCAAAATCCTTAATGATTTATTATGTGATATTATTTAATATTATATTATAATGATTTATTGATAAGAAAGAAGCTTTGTCAAGAGCTTCAACGATTAAATTATGTACCCGTCAACTAATCAGTCCATCGGTGGCTAAAATTACAGGCTTGAAAAATACTACGTGCACGTAAATAGAAAAAGATGTAGGTTAAAAGATCGTGAGTTGCACTGTGAAGTAGGAGCGTCTTTTGGGTACATTTCATGTAAGTCGAATGGCTTGAGATTGCTATCTGTCTGTATCGATAAGTGACTGACTGTTTAGTCATGAAAAATTATGCACATGAAAAACAGGAAGAGGGGAGTTCGAGCGAAAAATGAAGAAGCAAAATTTTATCCCGAGTACTAAGTTAATAGCATAGTATTGATTTAGTAAACATGTACTCTAAGTATACGGAGTTAAGGTTTTTCTTGAACGTTGGACTAAATGTTATGTCACGAATATAAAACCGTATAATCATACCTTCTATTTTTAGTATTCTTTCTTGCCTACAGTTTAGGCATACCCCAGGACAGAAACTGTGGGCGTGGGGGTATGAAGAAGGACTTCTGTATTTTTGCGCTATTGAACTCCGTTCAAATAATCATCATTTTCCGGTATAGAGTTATGCTGATCCACTGATATTGCTTGCAACTGCCGTTTTGTATTGATAACATACAGATAACCTACTGAGATTACTTACTACTACTACTTTAAATACTATGATATAAAACAGCAGTAAAGCTACTCTATAAGCTACTCGGTTCAAAATTATTTCCGTCTATTTATAATCTGCAATACTTTGCATAGATCTACGGTATATAGAAAAGGATTCCATGGTATCGCAATTAGTGAATCAGTTTTGAATTTTGCGGCATTTACTCAAAATAAAAAAGGAGAAATTTCTTGAAAGTCGTTATTGAAAGAAAAAATCGAACTGACTTTTGATTTATAATCGTCACTCGAGGTGTACTTCATGATTTATTTTAGAATAGTTATGGATTGAATTTTTAACTTATATTAATATACATAGAACACACTACAACATGAGGTGACACTCGGGGCTTTGAAATAAGAGGACGTTTTAAAATCCGGAAAATATGAATTGGATCTCATTTAGCAAAAAGGAACCAGCGCGATTACAATGTTTTCAAAATGGTGCATGGTGCAACTTCTCCTCTTCTTTTGAAAATGCAAAATTAAAAATGAATAATTATACATTTCCTTCAATACTTAATAAATGTACAGTATTACGGTTTACACAATTATTTCCCTTTAAAATCGATTTCTTGGTTTGAACCCAAAACTATTTGCTACTCTGGAAAATTTGTTGGATATTTTTATGAAGAAGAAACATTTTTACAACGCTGGTTCCTTTTTGCTATATGCAATCCAATGATCGCCCTATGATTAAATCTTCCTGAAAGTGTTTTGCAAGCAACACACAAATCCCACACAAATGTATCTCAGACCCCACACAATGTGTTTTGAATCCCACACAATGTGTTTTGTACCCCCACACAATAGTTCACCGGAAACTTGGACTCAGCGGAACACCTGCGACCGTCTCATACAAAAATATTTTTTCTCCGGCCATTTCCCGAAACAACGATGCTTCTTCCGAATACACGCAAAGAGCGGCACCGAGTATTTTTTTAATTTTTTGAAAACTCATAAGTAAGGGGGCTACGTATCATACAGTCCGGTAAAAAACGCGCTCTGAGTGCAGGTGAGATTTCAAGTGAGTGAATGATTTAATTTATATGAAAAAAATAATTGAAATGGTTTAATGAAAAATGATTTAATTTATATTACCAGAGGTTAACCGATCCTTTGACCGTTCAAGCGTTGACCGCACCGGTAGAATTAATTAAATCTACGCCTCTTGAAAATGAAATTGCAAAATTATGAATAATGAAACTAATAAGATTTAATGAATGAAGTGCACAATAAAACATGTTTGTTAAAATGGACCGCGTTTAGCAAAAAGGAACCTAGCTATATCAGCTATTGCCAAATTCAACTGGGCAATTTAATTTTTTACTGGAGAACTTTTGTGCGGGTTCCTTTGAAAATTTTAAGGAATTTGTTTCGTGCTATGCAGAAAATTCACTGAAATTTGCACGGAAATCCACACAACGCTTTTCGCGTAAAAAACAAAATTGCCTGATTAGATTTGGCAATAGCTGATGTGACTTGATTCCTTTCTGCTTAACGCGGTCCAATTGGACGTATTTATGCTAAAAGGAACTATGCGCATATGGTTTGCGTGAGGCGTAGTTTCTTTTAGCATAAATATGTTCAATTTTCGGACGAAAGCTTCGCCATGTTGGGGGGCACAAAATTCTCGAATTAAAATTCAATTTTACACAATCTATTGATGTTAAGATGATGAAATATTAAGCTGGTGCCTTTACACGTCTAGCCAGTGCAACTATGGCTTGTGCCAAAATGTGCTGAAGGTATAGTTGAGATTGGTGATACTTTTTTTTTTGTGTGGATTTTCAAACCAGAAGAGAGTGTGGCAGAGATATTCCGAGTTTCAAAAAATCATACAACTTCGCACAGCTTCCTTCGAAATAATGAACTGCAAAGATCTTTCCCGCGTTCGAAAGTGAGGAAAGTATTGAGAGCAATAAGTGATAAATAGTGGGTAGAAAGTAAGACACTGACCATGCTGAAAAATTAATTATGTATAGGATTCTGCAAAATCAGCGAACGCTGAGAAAGAAAAGTCGAGCGCGGGGCGATCGCGGAAAAAGTTTTGCTGACATTCTATAGAGTTGTCATATTTTCGTAGGCTCCATATTTTCAATCGAAATGCCGTGAAAATAGGCCGCTGAATCTAAGAATACTTTCAAAAACACTTGGCGGTAGAATTGAGACATAAGCTGGGGATTTTTGGGACTTTTGAATTCTTTTAGAATTGTCAGGCGAACTTAAAGGGCCGGTGATTTTGTTTTCAATCGGTTCTCAAGCGCAAAAAAAAAAAAAAAAAAAATGCGGCTAAAGCTGAAAGAGCTCTGCCGAATAGGAAAGCTCACTTTCATTTTCGATCATGTGAGGTTCTTTCAAATACGGTTTTAGACCTTTGCATTTTTCTTATAGGTACTGCAAATTTGCGAGAAAATGACCAAATGCGCGTTCTGTATGGTCGATAGCTATGCTTTCACACACACTCTTACATGAAGCAATCGATAAAATGTTGCAGAGGCCTTTAGCTACCCACGTCCCACGTGTTGCTGTAATCGCTTAAAACCAACCGCTCAAAATGTCTCCGAAATTTTATAAGAAATTAGAGTTAGGTCAGATGACCTAAGTTTAGGGGATTTAAATTTTCTTCGCTTGGTCTAGAAGGGTGCAGGGTGATGAGGTCTGCTTTATAGTCAGTGTTGGGCAGAATTTCACACTGAATATTATTTGAAGTGTCCTATATATTACTCACGTAGATCAGACCTCCAGTTTCCCGGAAAACTAGTACATTTCTGCTAATCGTGGTTCAAAAAATCAAATTGTATGAATACAAGCAATTTTAAACGGTACACAAATCGAAATAATTTGCTTAGCCAGCAGTATTTACAAATCCGCAACAAGTAAATTCAATCGCCTTTTTTTGACAACTTAATTTTCATTGAAATTAGTGTTTAATTTTTTACTTACTTCGTTGTTTGGAACAATCTGCTCGGTATTTTAGACTGGCAATTGATGCAGATACATCCACGCCGCGCCGATTTAAAATGTACGATGATTTTTCCCACGTTTGATTACTTCGAAGATTTCCTCAGTCCGTTGCAAAATACCAAAAATATCATGGTTTTTAGACCCCAAGTAGCATGCAGGCCTTTTTAAAACAACCTTTCGTTTGATCTTTGCTACATGCATTTAACGTATCTTTAATCAATCGTAAAATTAACAGGAAAAAATCCCGCTTAGTTAGAACATTGACACTCAATGGGTGAGCATCTAGGCAGGTTAAGGAGTTCAGAAAACCTTTTTAATTTTCTTAAAGATTCCAAACTAGGATACTGAAATTTTAGTGGTGAAATAACGTGAGAATTCATGGATTTTTCTTGTACCAAAACCATGCACTAACACATTCCCATCGCTGTTTACACCAATTTTCAGATTCAACCTCATTTAAGGACGAGGCATACTTAAATTTCATCTGAAAGATTTATTTACGATTCAGTCAAATTCTCACTTTTCAACGCGAGAAAATAAATCTCATTTCAGTTCATATTTAAAACCTCCAAGATTCACGTTTATAATTAGCATTCCGCGGATCGCGGAAATTTTAGCGGCTTTTAACGGAGAGGCGCGCCATCGTTGGTAAAAATTTTACTACAAAATTTTAATCAACATTGTTACCCCCGATTCAAAACCCTCGTTCACCGGCACTTGAAACTTCACTCGCGTCCCCGGTATATTTAGAATATCCCAAAATCACGCTCTTGATTAGCGTTCCCCGAAACACACACACACGGACCGCACGTCACTCTCGATATTTCCGGACACATTCACCCGCACACCAACGACCGGCTCTCCGATGCATTCGACTCCACGTCTTCGTAAACAGCGCGTCAATCAATCTCGAACGAGTTCAATCGATACGTCTGCATCCTAGCAATGAAATATATCGACCGGAGTCGTTTCGATATCGATTTATCGATCGACCCGCGGCGGTGAACTTGAACTCCGATTGACGAGGCGGTGATGGACAACCGCACAGTGGATCGAGTCAGAGACGTCGGACATGGAATTTTTGACTAAAACTGCAAATTTTGATGTTTATTTCGTCACATTTAAAATTGTAAGGGGAGCCTCTAGAGGGAAATTTCACGAGGAAACCAATAGAACAACTATTAAAACCTCAACATTTTGTACACTGAAAAAAAAAATCTCGGTGTATTTACTAAGAAAAGGGTAGAATTACCAAGAATTTAGGGTTCTATTTGATCCCAGTTTTTTCTTGGTAAAATTACCATTTATGGATTTGGTAATTTTACCGAGAAATCTCGGTAAAATTATTGAACTTTCTCGGTAATTTTACTGGGCCTGGGTAAAAACGCCAATATTTGTTATCGACTGTGGTCGAATTACCGAGAAAAAAAGGCAAAGTTACCGGGAATTGATTACCAATAAAAGTGGTATTCTTACCTGAAAAAAACGGTAAAAATACCGGTTTTTGGGTAAGCTTACCAGTCTGTCTTGGTAAAATTACCAATAATTGGTAAAAAAAAGTGAGATGGTAAAGGTACCAACGGACCTTGGTAAAAACGCCGAGAATTTTTTTTTCAGTATATAGACGGAGATATAAGCATTTAAAGTTTCCAAATTTTGTCCGACCTCTGCCATTGATTCGACCCACCGTGAGCCGTTGCACTTTGTTTAACATATACGCGCTGAGATACACCATAATTAAGCGGGTCAGCGCGGGAAATTCCCGCCGTTCCAAAGTCCGTCGGGATATTTTAAACTTATTATAATTAGCAAGATCTGACGACCACGCAATTACGGGTGAGCTGAAACAATTTGCACACCGTTATCTACCGCCGCGGTAATCTCGGTTGTGCGGCTATTGGCCGCTGATAAGCGATCGCTTTTGCACTGAACCCACGTCCATAATCATGCTTTTTTAGAAAGGTGAAAGTTGATGTAATCTAACGAGCCTCTTTTAATAGTAATTTATCGTGCAGTTCGACGGATGCCTTGTTTTTTGAAGCAAATTGTTCTTTTTCCCCTCATTAGCAACGACTCTTAAAAAAACGTGTAAACACTCGCAAATTTTAAGGAGATAATTCTTTGATATTCTTTGCATGAATCGCAAGTATAAAACACCCCGGATTGGGTAATTATTTAGTAACATTTACAAGACCGAAAATTTTAGTAAGACAATAAGTGTTGAAAAACTTTCTAAATGTCTGACGTATATCGACGGTGAAAGTCGGCAATCACATAACACGGTTTACGACGTCGCAGACTTCCTGTCATACTTTATTTTTTAAGTGGAAAACTACTCATCGGTAATTCTTTAAAACTTCCGTGATTTTCCTTCTGTGTGCGAGGAAAATTCTGCAAAAACTTCAAGGAATCATGTCCATTCGTTCTCCTTTAAAAAAATAACATAGTTGCGGAGATTTTCAGACACCGCAAACGAGTTATGTGATTGCCGACTTGCACCGTCGATATGTACTTTTTATACGTATGCCTTAAAACAAATTTTGCAGGCTTTTAAAATCCATAATGATATAAATCAGTACCCTTTTCTCAAGTGATTATTCACCGTTATTTTATACTTAATTTTTAGTTTATACATTTTATTACATAAAAACAGACAGAGACAAATTTTTAGTTGCAGCAGTTACGTTCTATTAGAGTGCAACGATTTAAAGAAATCTTTCTGAAAAGTTGTCCCAAAAAAATGTTTCAAAAATTTGAAATCTCTTTTAAAAATGTCTGTGTAGATTACGTAAAATTAAATTTCGTTCGTCGCGTCTTGCATTTGCACCTCAAAATTGTGCAAAAATGATTTCTCTCTACGTGAATTTCAACGGTTGTTTCAAGAGTATTCGGAAAAAAAGGCTTTATAACAGGAACTGCAGCTGCGATAGGAGTAATCTAGCGCTAAAGTCTGCTGCAAAAAATGATGCCATAATTGAAATAAAAAATAAAACTGCAGCATAATGCACCAGCATGATTGGAGCTTTCAGAACTGAGATTCATTTAACGCGCTGGCAGATAGATTAGGGAACGTTTGTTCTTTATCCCAGTGAGAGCATCATCCTTTCTCAGTTGAAAGGGACATAATACAGAGGGATTTTTTTATCAAAAGCTCGAGACAGAGTGCCATTTTGCACTTACAAGGACAAAGTCTCACTGCCTTTTCATCTCCAGTCTTTGAATTCAGACCTGCAGCTGTGTCCACAGTGATTGTATTTTAACTTCAAAGATTACTTTAGTTTCCAGCGATAATTCGGTCATGGTGGCTTTTGAGTTGAGGGAGGGACCATGAATACTGCTTTCAGATACCCACTGGTAGTCACTAGTCAGGGACTGTTGCTAAAGGGAGTGTAAATCAATAATAGATGTGTTAACAATAGATAAATCAAAGGGATTACATTTTGCAATAAGGTACCACTATTTCTGGCCAAGTTTAAAAACAACATACATGTTATTGGTTTCCCTATGCAGATACGTGATTTTATGAGAGAGCCAGAGATAGTGGGGTACCTTATTTCAAATGTAATCAAAAAATAATACCGTGCACGAAGAGCTGAGAAGCTGGCTTTCTTATGTGCCTCTTTCTCCGTTGTTCGAACGAGAACCATAAACGCATGTAGGGAACATCCGATCAGATATCTTTTTCAGGAATAGGAAATTCCTTTCTTGCCATCACCGTAACCGTTGCCGCCTTGGAACACGACCAGGCATAGGTAAGTGTTTGGTACCACTACCCTCCCAGAGTGTCTAGTTTCTTATCATTTTGGGAAATCCTAATGAAATACTGATTTTTGACTGCTAAATCCTGATTTCATAATTTTTCCGAATCCTGATCAAATCCTGATTTTTTACGGAAAAAAAGGAACGGACTGATAACGGATAATTAACGGAAAATAAGCGGACGGCAGACTTTTCTCAAATCCTGATTTTACGACCGATTTTTCCTCGTAGCCTGATGAAGTCGGGATTAATCCTGATCGACCTCAAATTCTGATAGAATCGGGAAAATCAGGAAAATCCTGATGCTAGACACCCTGTTAAAATACCGATAGAACCCCGAATACCATTTACATAGTCTATTCTGCCGTCCTGAGGAAAAACACCATATGAACACATCTTTCTTCATAAAACGTGTATTTGCGACAACATTCATGCGTATTTTTCCTTGAAATTTTCTATTATTTTAGATTAAATTGCGTACACAATTGTCTGAAAATTTTGGAAAATAATATTCACAACTTTCCCGATAAATTCGGTTTTTATCAGAGGAAACTTGGCAACGTCTGAAGGCTCATACGGCGTTTTTCCTTAGCACGGCAATATTGGTGACAGTGGATTCTTGGCTTGATAAAGGAATAGAAGCCAAATAAAATGCATGAAAAAAAGTACGTTATTGTCTCGAGTGAAGAATTTGTGAGCCGAGACTTATTCACTCAATCTTGCGGGAAGGGTTTATTGCTTGAGCGAGTAACTGCGGAGGTAGTCCAGTACCACATGTGCATCCGTGTGCAGTTTCGTGGGTAAAATTGTTGTGATATGTCATTCTCTTCTTTAGGATGTCTAGAATCAGAATTTCGATGGTGTCAAGTTCAAAAATTGAACCGACGCCCAGAATTCAAGATGGCGTCCAAGATGGCCGCCGCCATGGTGAAAGTTTTAAATTTTGCGGATAGCGTCGAGTCAGATGTCGATTCCTATGTAAAATGAC